TCATTTGTTTCACACGTGGCTCACGAGGTCGATCAAGGCCTTCAGGTAGACACAGTCTATACTGACTTTTCCAGTGCTTTCGACAAAGTCAATCATGCCCGTTTACTTACGAAAATCAAAGCTTTTGGTATTGATGGCTCCCTGTTATTATGGTTTAAGTCTTATCTTCAAAAAAGATCTCAAACTGTGGCAGTAAATGGCTACGAATCATATACTTTCTTTGCCAAATCCGGTGTGTCTCAGGGATCTCATCTTGGACCAATTCTGTTTTTAATGTTCATTCATGATATAACTACGGTAATAACGCATAGTAATGCGGCACTTTTTGCTGATGATTTAAAAATTATATCGCACTGTTACTAGTACATCTGATGCTGTATTGTTGCAACGAGATTTAGACAATATTACTGTATGGTGCAATAAAAATGGAATGTCACTGAACGCGCAAAAGTGTAAAAAAATAAGCTTTACTACCAAGTGCAATCGCATTGTAATTTATTCGTATAATATTAATGGTGTGATATTAAATAAAGTAGATGAAGTGAAGGATTTGGGAGTTACAATAGAGAGTGGGTTAAAATTTAACACCCATATTGACAATATTACAAAGAAAGCGGCACAAATGCTGGGTTTCTTGAGGCGTAACTCGGGGGATTTTAAATCCGTGAAAACAAAAACTATACTTTTTAACAGCCTTGTCCGGAGTCATTTGGAATTCGCCAGTGTCGTGTGGAACCCGGTCTACTGTACTCCCTCACAAAGACCAGAAAGTATTCAGCGTACGTTTACAAGACAATTACCTTTTTTCTCGTCGGGTATATCACATAGACAACCATACGTTCAAAGATTACAGTACTTTAAAATGGATACTCTTAGAGATCGCCGTACTTTATCTGACCTTCTATTTTTACATGATATACTAAATAATAAAATAAAGTGCTGCAATATCCTAAATCAAATAAATATTAACATACCATATAAATACCCCCGTCATAAAACAACCAAAATCTTTAAGATACCACGTTGCCGGACTAACCTAGCTTTGCACAGTCCATTATCTAGATTCTGCTCCACTTATAACCAAATTAATTCTCAAATTGATATAGATATCTTTTATTCTTCTCGTAATGTTTTCAAAAATCAAATTCTTGAATCGCTTCCCCAATAATTTTATAAGTAATTAGTAATTAAAGTAATAGTAAGTAGTATAATAAGTTGATATATATATATATATATATATATATATAGTATTTAGAGTTAGGTATATATATTTGCGTGTGATGCACTTTGATGGCATGGCTTGCTGGGCTGCGATCGCTCACCATATGGTACTGGCAGAAAATCAGCACTGTTTGCCTTCTCTTGGTCTACAGTATTTATGCTGAGTCAGGGCCATTTCAGCACAAACTGTAGTCATAAGTATTTCAAAATTTTATCAGTTGTTATAGTATATGTTTGTTTTTCTCACAGTATTTGTTTTGTCTCGCAATATGTGTTTTGTATAAATGTGTATAAAATTAATAATGAATGTTTTATGTGCTTTTATGTTATACTCTGTGAAGTGATTGTAAATGTTTTGTTTCTGTTTGTATTTGTGCTGAATAAACGTGTTATCTATCTATGTATCTATCTATCTAGTATGTATGTGTATGTGTGTGTATATGTGTGTATATATGTAAATAATAATAATAATAATAATAATGTAGAGTCGAAAAGTTATCGAGTGACGCCCGCATACCGGAAGACGCAACGTGGCCAGACCATCGACAAAGTTGACCGAAAACAGCCTGGTGAGAGTCACGGGAATAAGCTGGATACAAACAACGCACGATCGATCGTTGTAGCGAGCTTTGGAGGCATGTGTTTAGCAGTGGGCGTATTTTGGCTGAAATTACGACATTGATGAATATTGTATAATATTTTTCTTTAGTTGCTACATTACATGTGCAATACACTAAGTAATTGATTATAGAATAGAATATAATAGAATAGAATAGAATACGTTTATTTGCCAGAATACAGTAATTACAAAGGTCTTAAGTAAAATTAGGTACATTGTATTCAACCTGCAAGCAGATTTGCAAATATTAATGGGATTCAATGTTTCTTTAGTCTCTATAGTTTCTAATTAATGTAATGAATTTGTAAATTCTAATTATTCTTTATTACTATAGAAGCAATATGTCAAAAGCCATTTTGTCAATTTTAATTTAAAAGTATGTCCTTGTAACAATTTAATTTCGTTTGGTAATTTATTGTAAATAATTATACACATGCTGAAGCAGTTATTCTTATAAATTATGGCAACGAGGTTGGTATAAGAGATTCATAATTTTTGCTCTAGTTTGCCTTTGAATGACTTTACCGCGTGTTTTAAAATATTGAGGATAAGAGTTGATAAATACGCAGATATCCCTAATGTACATGCATGGCAAAGGTAATATGTTCAGCCTTTTAAACAGCGGTTTGCAACTGTCATCGAACCACGCACCGCAAATTGCTCGAATACTCTTTTTCTGGACTTTAAACGCTCTTTCTAAGATTACTGAATTACCCCATAGTACAAGACCGTAGCTGGGCACGGACGAAACGTAGCTCGCGAGACAGTTTGCTTTAGTCTTCGTAAAGCGTAAACAATCTGTTTAGGTTCATGCACATCTGTTCGATGTGTTCCTTCCAGTTAAGGTTCTTGTCGATTGTTAACCCAAGAAAGTTAAATGTGTCTACGTCATCTACAGTATCAGAGTTGTAATTAATTTTAACCGGTATGGGATTTGAGTTGTAAGATCTAAATGTCATAACTTTGGTTTTACTTATATTAATATTCAAGTCATTGATGTCCATCCAACTTATTACGTCTGTCAGTGCTTTATTTACGTCAATGTTAAAAGTCGCTTTATTTCGGCATTTTATTATAAGAGTTGTATCGTCAGCAAATTGTATACAATTATGATCAATAGTATGTGGGAGATCGTTAATGTAGAGTAGGAACAGTAACGGACCCAAGACGCTACCTTGCGGTATTCCAACATCAGTCGTCTTAAGGTGTGATCTAAAAATTTGTTTTTCTAATCTATTATTGTGTTTGTTTTTTGTTAATCTACTTATTTCAGTATACTGTGTCCGATTTTTTAAGTAGCTCGCTATCCAATTTTGGGCTGATCTTCTAATACCGTATGCTTCAAACTTAACATAATATAAGTACATAATAAGTACTGGATTTACTGAATTACCACCACGCCGGAGTAAACCTGCTAGTTCAATATCCAGTCGTACGACTCGACATTAGTGGCTGTGTCTAATCACTTACAACAGTATGTAATTGTTTTTGTTTAATTTATTTATTAGTCTTTACTATTTAAAGATGCATAGCAGTTGTTATATAGTTCATTAAATGCCATACTTGCCCCAACATCATTGAGGGTGTTCGTTCCAAATAAATCAATTGTTGTCTCAATGAATGAATATATTAGTAGTTAAATAGTGAACGCTTGCCTGGCTCCAGCCGGTCAGTGAA